AACCATAGATTGGATGTACAATCACTGGATTTATGAACGTTTTCCACAATTGAATTAATAAACGAAACTTTTTGAAACAATGCGAAAAATGTTATGGTCTATTTTATTATAATTCCATCATTTGCGGATTTTTTTAAAAATGGTCATCATTTGCGCATTGCTTGAGCAAATATTATCCAGCGGTGTGTTTTAGGCATCTTGTAATTTGGTTTTGTGATGCCTTTATAAATGTCATCATGATTTGAAAAGCATAGAGCTAATTCCAAAAAAATATATTGCGATTTATAATTGAATCTGTGCAAGGAGATGTCAAAAATTTATCCAATCGGAAAGAACCGACAGAAAGCATTTGATAGTTGGTTTTGTGAACTCTGATGACCCATTACAATCATATTGTGTATTCCAGATTAGTTCCAAGAAAATTATTTTGAAAAGTATTACAAGCGAAGTGATGTAAAAGATAGTGATGTCAGCTGGCTAAGAAATTGTTAAACGGCTTAGCCGGGATGAATAAAGAATTATTATATCATTGTATACATATTGCAATGATGCAAGAAGAACAATTATCATGGAGAAATTTTATTTAATTAAACTACTTGTTTTTTCCCCATCTATTTTCTTTCAAAATAACAATGCCTCTTCTTTTTACAAATTAAAATTATTACATTTCATAAATCAAATTTACATGCATATGAGTTGTGTTAAATTGATTTTTTTTTCGAATTTTTGACTTTGAAGCCAACTACACGTAATAGTAATACGCAATTATATTAATAATGTACTTGATCTGTTTAGTACTTAGAACGACCTTTACATAACACATAAGACAGGTTTTGTAAGTTTTAATTTTGTTTTCTATCTTTATCACTTTTAAATCTTCAAAGAATGCTGAAACGCTTTTATTGTTGAATCGATCACTAGAGTTTGATGATGACGAAGTTGTTCTCTTAAATAATGCATCAATTAATCAAAACTTAAAAAGGCAATCAAATAATAAAAAACAGTCCACGCGGACAATTTCCGAAAGGTTACACCTTTATCCCTCAGTTCGTAGGGATAGGGAAAACATATAAGAGGGATATCCCCCCTTATCAATCTTATCGATCTTTGGGTATCGGTCGGATAATTTACTCAAGATCTACGGACCAGGTGATCAGAGATATTCCGTGCATTTATATTTATCCCTCGCTGTATCCCTCTGAACACAGGGATAAAGGTCAGACCTACCCGGAAATCGCCCGCATATGGTGATAAAAAATGTTGTACGAAAGAATTGTTTATCAATAATAAACCGCTATTCTCAAAAAAATCCACATCAATCAAAACACCAAATCGAACTTTATTTATATTTTTTTTTTATATAATGTCATATGCTAAATTATTATCATCGTTATCGCTAGGAAGAAAGGATTTGTATGTAAAATTAATAACGAAATGTATAGTAATGCTAATGTTAATTCTGATGAAGAAAGCAGAAAAGTTTATTTTTTTTCATTAGTCAAAAAAACAAAGAGTTTTCTGAAATTGAAAAAGAATATTGTAAGGGAAGGTTTATTTATGAGTCTGGATTAATAGTTGCAAGAAATAAAAGTGGAAAACCAAAAGAATGTAACAAGTGTAAATTGACAAGATACTCTGATATATTCTGTGAAAGTTGTATTAGATTACAATTACAGAGTCTTTTCACTACTTGGACATCTGGAAATAACATAATTGATGATTTTATTCAACGATATCAAATGAAATCATCTTTGCCAAAGTATATTTTGGAATGGATACCTTTTGAACAATTTGAAAAAGTAACAAAGTTAACTGAAGGTGGATTTAGTTCGATTTTTACTGCTAAATGGACAAGAGGAGGTATTATTGATTATGATGAAAATAAAAAGGAATTCAGTTATTTAGAAAGGCAAAATGTAGTATTAAAAAGTTTAAATGATTCAAGTGATCCAAGTAAAGCATTTTTGATAAGGTTGGTGGTTTTTATTATAAAAACAGTATTATATAATACTAATTGATTTTATACTCAATTTTAGGAAATGGGTTGTTGTAGATTTAAATCGCTGATTGTTGGTTGTTATGGTATAACTAAATTCCCAGATAATGGAAATTATGCAATGGTTTTAGATTATCATCAAGAAGGAGATTTAAGGGTTATTTACAAAAAAATCATTTAAATTTAACATTAAAAGACAGAAATGCAATTATTGTCTATTTGTATATTGCATTACATTTTATACATGTAAAATATTTAATCCATTGTGATTTGCATAATGGTAATATACTTGTGAAGAAAGGTATTGGTTATATTACAGATTTAGGATTTTGTGGTCCAGTTGATGAAAAGTCATCAAATAAAGCCTATGGAATTGTATCATATGTTGCACCTGAGCTATTTAATGGAAATAGGAACAAGAGAATCAGATATCTATAGTTTTGGAATGTTAATGTGGGAAATATTTGCTGGTCATCCACCATTTGATGATAGAGCTCATAATTATCGTTTAATTTTTGACATATGTGAAGGTTTACGACCACCAATATTACCTAAAATGCCTGGTAATTATACACAAATGATGCGGAGGTGTTGGGATGTGGATCCATCAAAAAGACCGGGAAGTGTAGAGCTTTGGTAAAAATAAAAGTTGGAAAAATAATAGTTTAATAAAAAAATTATTCAAATTTTTGAAAATTAAAAAACATGGTGATGGTGGTGATTCGCAACACAAATCACATCCAGATGCGTATCATAAAAGTAGAATATTAGATGAAGAGATTGCTAAATATCAAAGCTTTAAAAATTATACAAGTAATGAGCATAATGGAAATTTGAAATGTTACACTAATTTTTTATATTGTGCAACGTAGCTTTACAATACACAGCAAACATTCTAGCAATAAAAAGTAAATGGTAAACTGGATTTGAAATTGGATCTGAACTTGATCTCCAATTTAGAGAGGTAACAACTATATACTGGCGAAGTTTCAGAAACAATGAGTTCTGTATAAAGTTTCGTGTAACAACAAACTTCCACTATGCTCAAGTAACGATGGTTCGTTAAATAATCTTGATTTTGACTCTTTTCTCTAAAACGTTAACAAAGGCGAATAAAAATTTCAACATTAATCAATTGGAAACTACTATCCATTAATTAATTATCTAGCAATATTAATTGATTAATTAATTAATTAACAGTAAAAGAATAAATTTATTATTATCTTTTTATTTACTTATTTATTTTATCCTTATTTTGTTTCTCAAAGCTAATGTTTTGAAATAATAAACTTTTTACAGTTTTTTGATCTCTTGTTAAATGGTGGGTGATATTGCAACGCATCATTTCAGCTAAATAACAATTATGGTTTAGCTTTTGAGGTACTCTTGTCAAATAATTCGGTGCTTGTCAATTAATTAGTTTACGAATTTACTCTTTCTTGTACCTAGACGAATCTACGAGCACACTCAATGGTACCAGATAACTGTAAATAAATAAAGATGGCCTTTTACAAAGCTCAAGGGCTTCTATAAAGTTTCTTTTATTCACTTGTGATCGATTTATTTCAGTCGTTTACCCTTGTTTACATTTATTGGACGATTGCAAAACAATTTAAGTAGCTTGTTTAACGGCCTTACATATCATTTCCGATTAACCTTTGGACGATACTTCATTAACACTCACTAGTTAACCCAAACCTTTGCTTACTCACTAAAGCAAATCACGTTACTAATAGTTGCTGACACTCGCAAGTTAACCGTAACCTTGCTAGGAAATAAATGCGGCTTTTTATCAAAGCTCCACAATTGTTACCTTTTACCAAGGCATTAACTACACTTGTTGTTTTTATCAAAGCGCTTTAAACAAAGAAAATAAAGACAATGTTTTTTATTTTACTTTTATTTTTAAAAAGTTTATTAACAATAATTTTATTTAATAACAGAGTTTTATTTATTATAATGTTTAATTACCCTCTGCGAGATAATTGTGTAGTTATAATTTTCGTTGATCAATACAATAAGGATAAATATAAGGATGTGATTATTATTATTGCAAAGTAACTTAATTAATCAATATTGATGTTATAAAAACTTCCATAATTACTTACACTATAATAAAGTACCGAATCCCTAATCGATGATTTTATCTACCTCAGCATAAACAAAGGAAAGATTGAGACACGCAAGAAAAATATAAAAAACAAGACCTTGGAATATATATTTATAAGTTTTTTTTTTGTGAGCTTTTATATTTTATTAGCCTTTAAAGCAATTTTACTTATGCCATTTTTGGCTTCATGGCAGCGACGTAATAGTTTTACAACTTTGGTAACATTTCGTCAAACAACATTAATAGACGGACATTTATAAGGCTAATTCAACGTCGAGAGATCGGACTACTCGAGAGATATGAATCTTAACAAATTGAATGATTTATACAATGAATTTATTTACCCAACTGAATCATTGGGAATTGGCCCAAGAATTATTGGTAACGATCATGACTAATCGGAAGAATGTTCTTGTTCCACTACTCAAACACTAACAGGACAAACGAAATAGTTGATCATGAATTAACTAAATCTGCATTAACTTTGAAAGTCGATAACGTATTGGCAATGATGAAATAAATCCTGAAAATATCTCTACAATTGAAAACAAATTAGATAATAATCATTGGAAGAAAACATAAATGAAATGAACGACACCGGACTAACTTTGGTTAACTAGTGACGGTTAGTGAAATATTGTCCAAAGGTTAATTGGAAATACTGGCTATTGTAATCGTAAACTTAAGGTTGTTAAAACAAGCTGCTTAAGTTGTTTTATAAATGAGATAAATCAGTCATGAGTAAATTGATAAACTTATTAATTGACAAACACTGATAAAAGTAGCCCAAAAGCTAAAGAAAAATGAATCGTCTAATAAAAAAAACATTTTATTATAAATGAAAATTAACAATTGTTTATAGAAAAAAAATAATATTTTTGAATAAAAAAATTCTTAATCGATCAATCTTTTAATTCTGTCAATGATATTTAAAGACTCTCGATTATTTATTCGTGGTGCATCATCTGTTTGTTATTAATAACAATGTATGTAAATAATGTATAAATTTTCGAATATATTAAAAAGATAAAGAAATTGAAGTCTTACTAATAAATTGTTTAAGTAATGGTCTTGTTTCCAATTTACTCTCCATCAAAACAGAAACCGGTTCAAGTAATCTCAGAACCGAGCCATAAAACTGGTCGTTATATGGAGGGCCACTCATTTGAATCAACTGAAATAATTTCAAGTATTATATTAATTAATCTTTTCAAGAGTGAGATAATTAATTAACTATATATTTGTCATATAATATACACCTTTCTAACAAAATAAAACAACAATCTTTCGTCTAATCCTTTAATCATTGACTCCATATATTGTAAAACTTGCATAACGAACCCTAGTTGAACCAAATAGAGAAATCTATCCAGTAATTGTTGTCGAATTAAAAACTAAAAATCCCCCAAAAAATTAATTGTGTAAATATTTCACGACAAATACATAAAATAAACTTAATAATGGTTAATCACGAACCATCATCTCCGGAGTTACTTTCAAACTATCCAGTTCCAAATCTCCTTTAAACGCGTTAAAGATATGATTTCTTTGATATGAATGCCTGTAAGCGATCTTTATTTTATATAATTATTGGTTATCTTGATTAAAATATATAAACAATAAATATATTTTTTTAAAAAAATTAAAAATGTACCTCCTCAAGTATTAAATGGGGAACCGGTACTTCATTTTGTTTAAAATGTTTCTCGTAAAATGAAGTATCCCGAAGGACATGTCTGATCCAAAAAATAATTCCCATTGATGCTACTGGTTTACTGTAAAATCATTGGTTTGTTTAATTAGAATTATTTTTTTTTTTTTTTGATTCTTTATTTTTTTTAAAAAAAATAGTTATTAATCTTACTCCATATATTCAAGAAAATCCTTAACAACAGAATTAAACTCCACACCGGTAACTCCTCTTCTTGTTACAGTGGTTTCAAGTTTTTTTAAAGTTATCAATGTGTCATTGACTTTTGAAGTGTCTATCTAAATTAATATAGCATCGAAAAAATCCAATTAAGAAATAAATAAAATATACGCAAGTAATGTTAAAGATCAATGAGAGGATTTTTCTGAAAACTTACCGTTCCATCCGGAAGATCTTTTGCACTTGCTGCAAAAGCTGCTAAATATAGATATTTTTCTTTAAGGTCTTGCTTGAAATTTTTGTTTTGTTCAGAGGGAACATATATCGCATTTAAAATAAAATCTTAACATTTAAATTTTATTTGTATGAGATATTAAAATAATAAATATATATGAGCTAATATAAAATGGAAAAAAAATGAAATCATAAAGATAATCGCATACGTACATAATAATTGAGGATCTCGAAGGAATACGGGCGGCGGAGGATTTGGAGAAGAATATGACTTGTGCAACTAAATAATTTTAAAAAATAATTTAGTCAAACAAATGTTTACAACAATATAAATTTTAAAATTATGTTCTAATTAATATACCGCCACCACATCGCCAGGCGTTAGTGGTATTTTTGCTATAGCTGATGAAATTTGAGCTGGAGGTGCCATAACTAAAGTTCTCAAAATGTGAACATGATCTTTACTGAGAATATATTTTATTTATTTATTTATTTATTTAATAATTTCTTTTTTTAAGGTTATTAAAATAATTTTAAATTTTATAAATAAATAAATATGCTTACTTAATAACTCGCGTAATACCCTTTTCTAATTCTTTATAAATTCTTCTAAAAGCATACCCGTTCATTGATTGAATTATACGTTTTATCAATGCTTGAACAAAAATATATGTATGGGGATTTAAACTAACAGTTTTCTATGTTATTATTAATAATATTAGCATACATCTAAACATTATCAATAAACACAATTGATGAATTTATAAAATCTTTTAAATAAATTTCAAATACTAACCATTAGTTCTGGTATTTCTACATTTAAACTAGCATCATCATCTTTAAGTAGTAATATTTTAAATTGGTTAAGTATGACCTTGGAATAAACACTAACATATGCTGATGCACTTTTAAGATTTTTGATTTCGTCTGTGTACCCTTTATCTGCAATTCTCTTTAAGAAAAGAATAAATGAATTTCAATATTAGCTTCTTTAAAAAGAATTAAATAAAAAAAAAAATCTCACCTGAATTACAGAATTAAGAAAATAGCTATCTGGATATTTATCCGATAAATCATAAATAGTTTTACGCCAAAAAGGTTTATCAATAAGCTTTAAAACAGGATTCAAATCCTAAATCAAATATATATATATATAATTATTTGATATAAATTCAATAATCATAACTCATAATAATAATAATAATAATAATAATAATCAATTAAAATAGCTCGTTAACCTCGCTATCATTTTTCAATGCATTATCCATTTTTTCATTGTCATAATTTTCAATTACTATTTCTTTTAATACTTCATGCATAATATTTTGAGGATCAGTCTCATCCTTAACATATAAATCATACAATTGCTTCATATATTTAATCTTTGATGGTGTCCCTATGTAATAGGATGATAATATATCAAAAACTCCTTTTGTATCTTGGGTTAAAGTAATGTATTCTATTAATGTATCAAGAGCATCTTGTTCGAAAATTGAATCTAAATGTATATATGTATGTATGTATATGCACACATAAATTAAAACTTCATACTAGAGGATTTAATTTTAAACAAAATTAATTGATTTTACCAGGCCCGCTTAATTTAGCCAATAAAGAGTGACTTCCCGTTTGATTAGTATCTCGTGGATCTGCCATTGTAGGATTTAGATCTTAATAAATTTAAAAAATTATCATTAAATTCGTATTCAAATAACAAAAAAATGTTAAGGTCCATCTGAATGTCTTTTCTGACCCAACAAATATCACATGACGTCTTATAAAGATTTGTTGATCAGTTGCAACGTTGTGCACATTAGACTCTTTGTGCAAATTACACGACTAGTACTAATACTAACACTAAC